CGATCACATGCAGTCGTTCCAGTAATGACGCTGGCAACAACCATCCGCTCCAGCCATCATGATCACAGCCCTTAAGTACTGTACCCCTGGCAGTACTAATTTAAGCATTTTAAGGTGTGGATGGCTTGATTTGTTCTTGTTACGACGTAGCGCTCAGATCAACGGCTACACAGCAATTGCTTTGACCAAGTTGGACATTTTGGACACCTTCAAAGAGATAAAAGTCGCCGTCGGGTATCGTCTCAATGGCGAATCTCTCAGTGCGCCTCCTGGTCAGTAAGTTACCAAAACGCGTTTGAAAGTATCAAAAAGTATAACGGGTTTGACAAAATTCTAGCTAGCCCCGGTAAGAGTCCTGAACTGATGTAGCTAAGCAGATAAGATAGGGTGTAACACGAGATTGAGTGAATTGACGGTGCAATTATGCCCCCCCCCCTGAAATTTTCTCCTTCTGCGCGACCTTGTTTTGTACATCCAGTCTTACCAACTTTTAAAAATTTCAAGGCAGGGAATTTATTTGGGGGCATTGGACGGGGTTCGAAAAAACCCTCTCGAGGTCCATTACTACTCCCCCCCCACACCCCTCCAGGACCAAGTACGACCATCTGATGGGTTCCTCACAGCAATGGTGTGCTCAGTGTTAAGGTTAAGCCTCGAGATGTGAGTTGTTTACTTTTACAGTGCTTCTTTGATTTTATACATTTTAGCCCAGGCAGCCGCATGGGATCGCGTTGAAGTTGAGTACAAAGTCTTCCCTGGATGGGAATCACCAACCGTCGGCATTCGAACTTGGGAAGAATTGCCTGAGAAGTGCCGCGATTATGTGCTGTTTATTGAGAGCTTCATTGAGGTAATGTTCTTTGTCTAGGGTGAATTTAATGTTTTACGAGGCTACACAGGGTCATGTTGGGGAGACGCGGGTCGGGATATCCATGTTGCGGTGACGCGACGAAAGTAGCCCAGTAGAGGCCACATGCGCAACATTTGCACCAGGAGCTAACTCATTGCACCATTGAACTAACCGCTATTACCACAAAAACTCAAAAAAAACTCTGCTAAAACTTTTCCCGTAAGGGTAGTGCGGTGCCCTGATCACAAATATTACATCCAGCTTTGGCGCTGGCGCCATTCCGATAACACTGCCTTTCTCACCAAAATGGTGTAAATTTATGTAGATTGGGGGGGGGGTTGTTTGGTGTCCTCACCAAGATAATGACATTCGTTTCTGGCGTTGGTGCCAATCGGCACCACCACTTTTCTCATCGAAATCGATAAAAACTTGCATAATACGACTGTTTGATGTACTGATCACGTTAGCTACTCGGAGGTTTTCTTTCAGGTTCCCATTAGATGGATAGGAGTTGGTCCGGATCGTGAATCCTTGATAGTTCGTGAATAGTTCAGTTTTTTTAAGCGATCATCCAAGTGCCTTACGATTATTCGTGTTGAATGTTTTATTGATGGACAGTTTATCATCGCAACGATCTTTGAGGACTTGTTGTCAATGAATTACTTGATTGTTACTCACATGCTCGATCTGTGTTCCTTCCTCGTACCATTCAACAAAACATTTTAACATTTTCGATTCGCGTTTGTTGGTTCTTGTCAGAGATTTTATGTTGTTATGTGTCGATTAATTGTCTTATCAGGTTAGCAAGAAATGTTGAAATAAACATTTTGCGAGTATGATTTTACTTACTGTAAGAACAAAATGACAATTTTGACTGGTATGCCAGGGATGAGATAGGCATCAACTCTCACCGACCCGTGCCCACGTTTAAAGGAGCAAGTTGGCACGATCACAATTGTGGTAACTCGTCGCAAAATGATAGTAGGGGTGCTATAAAAGGATACAAAGGATAAAGTCTTCGCGTGAGCTCGCGGCTGTTCAATCCTTTGTGGGATGCGGCACGCATTCTACTTCCATTCAGAATCGTAGTGGGTTATTGAATGCGATGTGGCCTATACAATGACTTGCGGTGGCCAGCCGATGTACAAGTCAGTGTTTTATCCTCCCAGACGAATCTGGTACCAATTCACCGTCCCCGGAGGGTAGAAGGCTTGGTTGGCCTGGGCGGGAGTCGACCCGGGATTCGAACCCGGGTGACGCGGGTCCCGGCAGCGAATTGTTGAGCGAGCCCCACTTGTCACGTCACCCAAAAAATTTCCCCCCGCTCCGCCAAGGGGGGGGGTAGGGGGAGGAGTGTCCACACCGACCCTACCAGTGGTGGGGATGGGGACGAGTTGCTGGTTTCAATCAGGACCATTATGGGATGTGGAACGATTCTTGCTTGGTAGATAACTACTTTGTCCCTGCGTTAGTCCACGCGCCGGTCGCAGGCATTTGCTAGCGTCCGGCCACTTCTAATAATGCCACATGCATCTCTGCGTGGCAAGCACGTTCAGTACGCAATCCTTCGCGTACTTTGTTCTTCGATACGTGGCGCTCACCATAAACAGGCGCGTCTCGGTCAAAGTAGGAGAGTGGTTGGATGTCTCCGTTATCAAGCTAACAGTGGCAAAGGTGTAACCGCTGAGCAACCGACAGTGCAGATCATATAACGCCGCTGAAACAGGAAAAATCGGAACCCGAAGGCTTTTCTAGAAACCAAAACAATTGTCGATTCTTGTTTCACAGACGCTGTACAGGAAGGGTCGTATATGGCCGTTGTTGGTTGCGAGGTTAGGAAGATTTTTTCCGGTTGTGGTGTTCTCGCGGTTTTTCCTATTTTACATGTCTAATCGTGTCGAGCCGCCTCCAGGGGGGGGGGGTGTCGCAGCGGACGCGACGCAAACATTCCAAACACTAATTGTGTGCCCCTTTGTTGTCTTTAAACGTCAACTAGCTATAATAAGCGTGGCGATGCCGCGGCACGAAAGCACACTTACACCGGCACAAACGAAATCCTCTATTTCGTTCTTGCGAATGAATAGGATCCCTCTTGCGAGATAACCTGCGCATTGGTTTAGGAGGTGGACAGCGTGTGCATGAGAGAGCGCAGGCGCCACAAGAAGACGTAAGATTGTTTGCATCAGATATGGAATTGCGAGATAACCGCAAGTGGCTGCCAGGGTGGCCGATGAACGTAATCGTGTTTTGCCCTATAGGCATTCCGTGACAACGAGAGAGCATGAGAGGCGGCGCAGCACGAGGCCGCAAGAAAACACCATCGTGAACGATTTTGCGCAGGCTCGTTTATTCCACTCTGGTTGTGGGCGGAAATCGATATAAGTTAGTAAGTATCTATGGTCCCCTCTGCGAAAATCACATATTTTAATGTCGATTAGCAAGTGAAACTGGAAAGCGGGCACTGTTCGGCCTTGGGGGGGGGGGTCTTTTCTGTTACATAGTTCTGTTAAAGCTGACACACATGTTCTGTGTGGTCCTGTAGATTCCTTGGTCAAATGCAAATCGAAACTCATGCTATTGGTCAGAGCTCTCACAAGGGTGTTACATGCCTCCACACACAGAGGCATAGCAAAAGTGGATTCAGCCGAGGAACGTCAGCGAAAAGCCCCTGTCAAATGAACTGCTCCGCAAAACGTTTTCCCTCTGAACCATAGAATAGTCACAATGTACATGGACGCGTGAGAAACTAAACATTAGTTTACAAAATCTCATACAAGTGGTATGGTTGAGTGGATGGTGCTCGTCCTCCTGCTGTAGCTCTTGTAATCTCGGGGCTCAGAAGAGAACCCCTTTGGGGAGCATGAAGCTGACATTATCCTTTTATTCTGGTTGACGTTCCTCGATCGAAAATAAGTTCAGCACCGTTTTCACGTCTTTCTTGAGATCTTCGGCATTCCGGAGGAAGACGGAGCTGCAAATAAACGACATTTGAAAGCCAATACCTCAAGTCACCGAACAAGGCCGAAACAAAGGCCGTCACTGTGCGGAACAACGCCCCCCCCCCACATTCCACCAGATGGGCTCTACCCCTACTAGAGAGCCGGTGCGCGCGCCATTTTTGACCATAGTACACCGTCCTAGATAGCCGGCGCGCCACAACAACTAACAGTTGGTCAGAGCCGCCTGCCCCGCTCCACTTCATTCCTCTAACTGATAGAACTCCAAAATTTTGGGAACTTCAGAGGCGAATGTGCTGGGTCGTTGCGGTGGGTCGTGGAAGGGTGTTGTACCGGAACATTTGTCTGGGGACGAGGAGGGGGATCTTGCTGACCTCCACGATGCACTTTGATTCGAACCCTATGCAGTTACTGATAAGATATCAAGAAAGTACCAGACCTTGGCGACGCCTCGCCAATTTCGTTCTCTATAGAGCGAAGCCGTTGAAGTAGACGCGAAACAGCTGATTTACACGTTTTGTAAGCGTCTTCTCGTCGATGTAGGTACAGCCAAGCAGTGCAGTTCTCAACCAGTAAAAGACCCTAAATAGCATTTTATCATTTTATCTTTTCTCATCAACGTGCAGCCTGAAAATGAATCGATCCAATTACTTACGGTTTTCCTTTGACCGGCAAGGTCGAACCCTTCCAAATGTGCGGCACTCGCTAACTTCTCGAACGCAAGTCTCTTTTTCTTGTCAAAGCGAAGATTTCTGGCTTCGGTGCATACCTAAAGGAGAACAAACTAAATCTAGTTTTTGCGCAAAATTCGTTGAAGACGGTCAAAAAGGCATTTTTAGTCAGAGAATGGTGACTTTCATAACAGAAGAAGGTCTTACTGCCCGATGGTCGTCGAAAAAAACCCACTGGAAAGAGTTTCTCTCTAGAAAATTCCAATTAAAAATAATGGGCACTAATAGGCGTGGAGGGGGACTGTATGCTTTTTCACTGCCTTCTTTGCCTTTTTTTGTCTTCTCACACTCGTGTCTCATAGTCAGCCTGCAAGTCCTGTAGAGTCCTGTCAAGTACCCTCTCAATTCCTGTGAGCTTGGCGAAATAGCACCAGCGCCATTTCCATTTTGACCAAGTTATTTTGACAAGGGTGTGAGCGGCAGGCGTGTTTTACAGTGTGAGTGGACAAGGCTTACCAGGCCTTATATGTAGGTGTGCGTGCGCGGAGCGCGCGCGAGAGGGTAATGAGCCCGGACTTGAATTCTGGATGGATGCTCCAGATTTCTTTGTCGAAAGGAGTAATACTTACCGTACCCTACTGCACTTTCGAATCTCTCCTCTGAAAAAAGAGCAAAAAAAACATACTCACATCAGCAAATTCCTTCGCTATCAATTTCGGGGATGCAATTCGTTCGACCGTTACTGGATATCCCTAAGGAGGAGAAAATTAGCGGAATGATCGTTTTATCAACAAAAATGAAGGGTAACAAGTTGATAGTAGGAAAAATTAGATGCTGAGAATAATCAGTTCTACAGTCTCACTTCTTTTGGTTTTCCTTCCGCATCTCGCTGCTTTCGTAGTCTCGGGTAATAAGGCCAGCATTGATGGTCCCAGCTCATCAAACCAGTCTTGTCGTATCTACAGCCGCAGCGGCAGATAGTGTTGTGGGCTGATTCACTCGGCAGCTGAAAAACTGCTAGATGAAAGGACCAACAAATCTGTTATTCCTGCTGTCATCCCTTTCCATAAGCCGTCAACCCCATAAACCTGGTCAATAAATCGAGCGAGGTCGAGGTCGGATAACTATAACTGGCAAAAGGCTTCTTCGAAGTATGAAAACTAGCCGCAGGTTGACCGCTTTCCATGAAATATTTCAAGTTTCAAACTGCATTCAAATACGGCTACAATTCTCACTGGAAGTCTCGGGCAAGGTGCACTCCGTAGAAGGGCTGATCAGCAATGAATCGGCTTGGGGGGATATTTCGCACATTCGGTACTTCTCATCGTCGTGTTCACCAGGGCACATCGTTGTTGGGGAATCCCCAACAGGGGGTCGTATTTGGTCGCCAGGAGGGGGGGGGTCGTATTTGGGCTGAGAAAAATTTATTTTGATAGTTGATTTTTCTCGCTTCACGGACGTTGTAA